AATTTATAAAGTAAAAATATACATATTAATTATTAAGTATGTGTGTTTTTTTTGCACACTGAGTTTCAACTTTTAGCGCAATAATAACTTAGAGAATGTTTTAATGCAAACTAAAACCCTTAATGTATTACAAACTAACTAACTACTTAAGAATTAATATTTAATTCTTAAAAATTAAGTAGTTTGTAATACATTATGGGTTTTAGTTAGTTAGGATTTTTTTTCTTTCTGTTTTTGTAGGGTTAGTTAGTTGTACATGTCAAATACGTGTGTATTTTGGATTATGTGTGAGCGGGGTTAGGGTGGGTGGGTGGGTTTTTGTTTTTTCCCCCTAATCCCATAATTCTTTGTCTCGTCCCAGACCTCTTTAAATATATATTAGGCTAGAAATTGATTTGGTTAGTCAGTTATGAACTTAGAGAAAGGTTGTATGGATATTCCTGAAGATAATAATTGTGACGTTATTGCATTAGTTCCTACCAATCAATTATGCCTTGATTCCAATGCAACGAAGATCTTAGAGAATGTTTTAATGCAAGATCTGGATCTGACTTCGATAGTGGGTTTAACGGTAAGGGAAGTGTTGGAAAATCCAATTACGGACGAGATAGTGGCGTTAGTCGATCGAAGTTTAGTAAAGGTGGGCAATCTGCTATCGTGGCACCCCCTATTAACAGTGGCAGCGAAGCAAGCTATTTCCGCACTATTGAAGTGCATAATAGTAATACATCATGGTTCCGATACCATCACGTCCTCTTCAATGTTTCCTCTGCACCTCATACAAAGATTATGGAAGAGTACGTGGCTAACCCTGACGTCCCTCGAAGTATTCCTACAACACCTGATGAGGTGCAGTGGTTGTCCGATAGATTTGGTGACATTGCTGCGCAAATTCATAAATCAAAAATATACAAATGAATTATTAAGTTTGTATGTTTTTTTTGCACACTGTGTTTCAACTTTTAGCGCAATAATAACATACACTAACAATTTGAATTAAAAATAAGTGTCTATATTGTCTTGTTTTATTATTTGATAAATAGTTAACCTAAACGATATTGTGTTTAACTTTTTAAATTACCTGGTTTGCTGAGTGATTTACACAAAAATTTTTGCAAGTAGTCTTGCTGTAATAAGTGTTATTATGAAATGGTTATCAAACAAAGGCAATTGCTAATTTTATTGTTTTTTGTATGATTATATAGTTTCAATAGATAACTCATATCGTAAGATAAACATCGACACAATTGTGAAATTTGTCTTTGTTGTTATTTACGAAATCATGAAGAAAAATTGTAATAGCTTTGTCGAAGAAAAGCTGACTTATGATTGTTTAGCATATTTTGCAAGAGTTCGCGAGAGTGTAAGTTTTATGGTAAAAATGCTAACATTTAGTGGAATAGAAGACATGCTTAAGGTAACTTTTATAAGGTAAGTTTCATAATATATAAGGTAAGTTTTAAAAAGACCTCCCTGTAAAGTTCTACATAACCGCATCATACAATCTAGAGTTTTTTTTAAAGTAAGATATCGTAAATAAGATAAGGTAAGATAAAGTAAGATTTAATTCGCTGGTCGAATTAAAATTAAAATTCCGGTATCTTGTTATAATGAACAAGTTAAATGAACAAGATACTGGGAAATCAACAATGATTGAAATCTACCAGCAAATTTCAAATCTTTTTTCAAAATATTCAAAATTAATAGATAATTTTGCCGTGTTGTTTTTAACCGAACGTGAAGCTTTTCAGTTGGAAATATTTTTTTATTTAAAAATAAAATTTTAATTTTATGTGTAATTTGAGTAATGAATTTCAATTTTATGTGTAATTTGAGTAATAAAATAATCGAATTTTATAATCAAGTTTCAAATCTTTTGGTAAATGAACCAATAATGTTAGATATTTTTGCTGTCCTGTTTTTGACAGAACATGAAGCTTGCCGTGTTTGTACAGACCAAAGAAATAATCAATGTCTTGGAGACCATTCCAGACTTATCGCATTGGTATGTTTTTTATTTATACGTTTATAAGTAGCATTTGATTACAGAAAAGTTATTGACAGACTAAATAATTTATTTAAACACAGAGTAGGAGTAACTGTTTCAAGAAAAGAACATTCCAAAAATCTGTCCATGACCTATAAAAGAATTTGCAGCAGTATTGCAGATAACTAGTAATATATAAGATTGCTGCGCAAATTTATAAAGTAAAAATATACATATTAATTATTAAGTATGTGTGTTTTTTTTGCACACTGAGTTTCAACTTTTAGCGCAATAATAACTTAGAGAAAGTTTTAATGCAAACTTAAACCCTTAATGTATTACAAACTAACTAACTACTTAAGAATTAATATTTAATTCTTAAAAATTAAGTAGTTTGTAATACATTAAGGGTTTTAGTTAGTTAGGATTTTTTTTTTTTCTGTTTTTGTAGGGTTAGTTAGTTGTACATGTCAAATACGTGTGTATTTAGGATTATGTGTGAGCGGGGTTAGGGTGGGTGGGTGGGTTTTTGTTTTTTCCCCCTAATCCCATAATTCTTTGTCTCGTCCCAGACCTCTTTAAATATATATTAGGCTAGAAATTGATTTGGTTAGTCAGTTATGAACTTAGAGAAAGGTTGTATGGATATTCCTGAAGATAATAAATGTGACGTTATTGAATTAGTTCCTACCAATCAATTATGCCTTGATTCCAATGTAACGAAGATCTTAGAGAATGTTTTAATGCAAGATCTGGATCTGACTTCGATAGTGGGTTTAACGGTAAGGGAAGTGTTGGAAAATCCAATTACGGACGAGATAGTGGCGTTAGTCGATCGAAGTTTAGTAAAGGTGGGCAATCTGCTATCGTGGCACCCCCTATTAACAGTGGCAGCGAAGCAAGCTATTTCCGCACTATTGAAGTGCATAATAGTAAGACATCATGGTTCCGATACCATCACGTCCTCTTCAATGTTTCCTCTGCACCTCATACAAAGATTATGGAAGAGTACGTTGCTAACCCTGACGTCCCTCGAAGTATTCCTACAACACCTGATGAGGTGCAGTGGTTGTTCGATAGATTTGGTGACATTGCTGCGCAAATTCATAAATCAAAAATATACATATTAATTATTAAGTTTGAATGTTTTTTTGCACACTGTGTTTCAACTTTTAGCGCAATAATAACATACACTAACAATTTGAATTAAAAATAAGTGTCTATCTTTCCTTGTTTTACTATTTGATAAATAGTTAACCTAAACGATATTGTGTTTAACTTTTTAAATTACCTGGTTTGCTGAGTGATTTACACAAAAATTTTTGCAAGTAGTCTTGCTGTAATAAGTGTTATTATGAAATGGTTATCAAACAAAGGCAATTGCTAATTTTATTGTTTTCTGTATGATCATATAGTTTCAATAGATAACTCATATCGTAAGATAAACATCGACACAATTGTGAAATTTGTCTTTGTTGTTATTTACGAAATAATGAAGAAAAATTGTAATAGCTTTGTCGAAGAAAAGCTGACTTATGATTGTTTAGCATATTCTGCAAGAGTTCGCGAGAGTGTAAGTTTAATGGTAAAAATGCTAACATTTAGTGGAATAGAAGACATGCTTAAGGTAACTTTTATAAGGTAAGTTTCATAATATATAAGGTATGATGATACGTATAGACATGAATTTTTTTTAAAAATAAAAAAATAAGAAGAAAAGTGTTTCTCTTCTTATAAAAATTAAAAAGGGGGGGATGGTGGTATAAAAAAATAAAAAAGAGGGGGATTTTTTCAAAAAAATAAAAAAATAAAACTTTGGGGGAGGTTAGGAGGGTTAGGGTGTAGGTAGGTGTCAGGGTGGCGTAATCAGGTGGTTAGGGTGTAGGTAGGTGTCAGGGTGGCGTAATCAGGTGGATAAGCAGGTGCGTAATCAGTGTGTGTGAAAATAGGGGCGGGTGGGAGAGGGGAGCAAAAAAAAAAACATAAATTAAGCAGGTAGGTTAAAAATCAATGTTATTGGCGTAATCAGGGGGTTAGGGGGATAAGCAGGTGCGTAATTAGTGTGTGTGATATTAGCGTAATCAGGAGGGTTAGGAGACAGGGGGCGAAAATAAAAAAATAAAAAAATAAAACTTTGGGGGTAGGTTAGGAGGGTTAGGGTGTAGGTAGGTGTCAGGGTGGCGTAATCAGGTGAATAAGCAGGTGCGTAATCAGTGTGTGTGAAAATAGGGGTGGGTGGGAGAGGGGAGCAAAAAAAAAAAAAAAAACATAAATTAAGCAGGTAGGTTAAAAATCAATGTTATTGATTTAATCAGTGTGTGTGTGTGAAAATAGGGTGTAATCAGTGTGTGTGAAAATAGGCGCTATCAGGTGTTAAGAGGCGTTAAGGAGGTAAGCGAATGTGTTAAAAAATATATATATAAACGGTTAAAATATGTTAAATAAAAAATAAAAAAATACTTTATATATTTCACGTGTGTTTTTAAATATTTAAAAAAATGGTTCGAGACAAAAAATCTGTGCCTCATTCTGTACAATATATAAAAGTTGGAGACAAAATAGTTCGAGACAAAAAATCTGTACTACATTCTGTACAATATATAAAAGAACAAGAGGAAAACAAAAGATACGTAGCCGATTTGTTTCGTCGTATAAAACAACCTAGCGCCAACCTAGCTCAACAAAATAACTCGGACGTGGACTTTGTTGTGGAAAGAGGTAGCGATTCACCTCATACTCGATCAGGCTTAATGTGCAAAAGAAAAACAAAACAAAAATATAAAGATAACAAACAAAATAGAAAGAGTGGACGAGTTGTAAAGAGTGTATATAAATGGGTATTGACAAAGAAAAGTTTAAGGTATATTATATGTTTAGTTAATGAAAATAATTTTAAATAAGTTAACAATAAAAAAAATATTAAATTGCATTATGGCGCGTAAAAAAAAAATATCACGTACAAAAAAAATATCAAAAAGTGAGTTAAAAGAATTAAACAGAATATACTATCGGCACGGTGGAAAAATTGCAAATCAATGGCGTCAATTAGGTCGACAGCCTCAAGTTGTAGTAAACAAAATGGATAGTAAAGAAATTGCAAATCGAACAGTAAAAAAGATGGATTGCAAAACGGTTTGGTACAAAAAACGCGCAACAAAACAAAAATATAAAAATACAAAAAATAATATTAAAAACGGTGTGGTAGGAGATATAGTACATAAATGGGTATTAACAAAAAGGTAAAAAAATTGAAAAAGTTGTTGTTATGATATTGTTTTTAAAAAAAAGAATTTTATAATTAAATAATTTACATTGTAAAATTAAAAACATCGAAATAATGTTCAAGTATTTTAGTGTCTATTATTGCTTGTTTTTGATCACTCGATAAGAGCGCAAAATAATTTAAAAAGGTTTTTTCAAATTTCTTCACAAGATATTCGTAGACTTCTATTTGCTGATCATTGGGTGACATTTTTCGTAATTCTAAATCATATTCTAGTAATGTTTGCAGCATCCCCATAGTCATACAGCATAAGTCGTTAGTGAAATTGATTTTATCGAAATTCATATTTTTTATTTATCTAAAAAAAGTAAGAAAATAACTTATTTTATTTTATATATTTAGATGAAAAAAAGACAAAAAAGAAATACGCATTACAAAAAAACCAAGCGAAAAACTCGAAAAAAGGTAAAACGAGGAAAAGGATTGGCTTCGTTAATAACAGTGGACAATGCAAAAATGATTGGAAAATTTGCAATTCAAAATGCTGACGTTTTAGGCACTTTAGCTAATTCGCTTTATAATAAAATTAAAGGAAAAAAGAAAGAAACGCCTGTAAAAACGCAAGAAACGCTAATAAAAACGTTGCCTACTGATCTTTCACAAATGTCATACGAAGAAAGACAAGCTTATTATAAAAATTTGTAACAAAAAAATTATTTTTTTTATAAATAATAAAAAAAGCATACAAATTATTTAAAATTTAAATCGTCATCTGACAATTCTTCTTGTTTGATCGAGTCTTCTGATATTCTTTCTTGTTTAATACAAAATGGTTCTTGCATTGGATCGTTATTATCGCAAAATGTTTTTTTTTTCATTTTGTTTTTAATTTCATCGAATATTTCCATGTTTTTTTCGTAATTGACTCTTTTTTTTCTTTCATGTGCCCATGACGCTTTTCTTAGTTGTTGTTGATATCTTTTTTTAAAGACTCTGATTTGAATTTGGTTATTTTTAAGTTTGGTCAAAAGTTTATTAATTTGTAATAGTGCGCTTGTGTTTTCAGAAAGTCGACTCATTATATTATCTGGATTTCGTTCAGTACTAAAAAAATAAAAAAAAATTAAAAAAAAACTATACAAGTAAATAATTTGTTTTATGGTAAATTAAAAAAAGTACTTACGTAATGACATAGTAAGATTCAAGATCGCAACGAAAATTAATCAAAAGGTTGGTAGCTTCTTCTTGAATTTTAAAGTTTTTTTAAAAGTTTTTAAACGTTCTTTTACAACGTCAGTCATATTTAAAAAAAAAAAATATGACTGACGTTGTAAAAGATTGAAAAAAAAATTGCTGGCCTAGGCTATCGTGTAAAATCTGTAGAAACCATTTTAAAAAATATGATAATTTGTTTTATGGTAAATAAAAAAAAAGCACTTACGTAATGACATAGTAAGATTCAAGATCGCAACGAAAATTAATCAAAAGGTTGGTAGCTTCTTCTTGAATTGTTTTTGCTAATTTAATTTGTATTTTTAATAATTTTTCCTTATCTGTTTCTAAATTTGATAAATTTTCTTTTTTCGTATCTGCGTCCATATTGTATTCTTTTCTTTTTAAAAAAAATTATAATAAACTTTTTTTTTATAAGCTTTGATTAAAAAACTGGATTTTCTAGTTATTAAATAAATAAAACAGTTTTATAACATCGTGGGAAGGTTTTAAAAAAATCATATGATAATAAAGTTTCTTTGAAAAAAGCGCTATTTCGATAGCGCTTTTTTCAAAGAAACTTTTTTTTTAAGATGTAATTTGAGTGTGTTTTTTTATTTGCATAACCTTTAATACGTTTTGAGGATGAAGCAAAAAAAAATATCATATGATGTTTTTTCAAGTCAGAATATTTGCGTAACCTTTAATACGTTTTTGAAGGTGAAGCAAAAAAAATATCATATGATGTTTTTACAATTCAGTTTTTTATTTGCACGCTTTGTTTGTAGTGTAAATAAATTAAGGGTATAAAAAGACGAGCTTTTTTATAAAAAAAAACCAGAGTAATGGCAACGCTTGGTAATAACAATATTGAATTAAAAGGTGTAGTTTATAAACTAGTGAAACATTTGTCGTATTGTTGGAAAGAATTTGCAGATTTCTTAATGTTACCTGTAAACACAAAGTATAACATAAGGAAAACACATTACAATGATGAAGCGAAAATGTATGCTCTGTTAAAACATTATTTATTGCAGATGCGATATTCTAGCGCAAATGAACAACTAAAATGTTTACATAATCGATTTGTTAAATGGAAAAATGATGTTTTTCACACGATGCAAATACTACAAGATGCTTATATTAGCGACCGAACTTCAGCCTGTGAGAAATCTTTAAACAGAGTTAGAATTTTAAATTTAAAACGCAAACATCGACTTATGCAAAAATGCCTTGGATATTTTAAAGACTGCTAAAAAAGAATTGTAAGTGAAAAAAACTTTTTTAGTCTATAAACAAAATTTGCACATATTTTAAAATGTTCTTTTTTCAATAACATTTTTAATGTTTGAACAACGAATCCATTCATAAATGTCTTTAATAAAAAAAAGATCTAGAGTTCTCCAATCTACTCCAATACTTTTACTAAGCTCTATGGTATATTATGGTATATACTGATCTAAACAATTTATAAGAGCCAAAATAAATCTTATAAATAAAAATTTATAGTAGTTTATATCATTTTCAGATAAATGTTTGTTATCAACTTTAGTTTTTTTTTCAATTGTTTAACTGTCACTATGGTATATTGTGGTATATTTCAAAAAGAAACTATCGCTAACTAATATGGTCACTTGTATTGCAATATAACCATTTTTTACTGATGTCATTATATTGTGCTATTAGACGAACAGTAATAATAAAATAAGATTTTCATCCAAAATTTTTGGTACTTCAAGACCAAAGAGTTCGTGTAAAGCGTATGATTTAAATGGTTTCTTTATCCAAACAACTGATAAATACCAGGTGGCAAATTGTTAATTTTAAAATTATTAATTGTTTTTATTTCACTATTAGACGAACAGTAATAATAAAATAAGAATCATCTTTCAAATCTTATATAGTCACTTAGATCATCTCCTTTTTTTGCCAACTTTTCGGAATGAACTTCTGTAATAAATGACGTCTACACAAGCTTTTGGCATAGTCAAAATTATTTTAATGACCTCAGCATTTTAAAGATATTCCATCAATTGCGATTAATTCACCTAAAAAACAACAACAAGTAAAGCAAAATTTGTTGTCACCTATCAATAAACGTCGATTATATTCCTAATAAAAGAACTATTTGTCAAATTAACATGTGTAGTATTTATCAATATACGACGAATAAATTCATTTACATCGCAACCAAACCATTCTCGTTTTTTATTGCTATTAACTTTTATATGTACTTAGAATGAAACTAGTTTGATTTTTACTTTCTTTGCAATAATGATGTTTATTACAAGAAAATTTTATGGACATCGAAACGTTATTCGGATGAAAGCGTTAATGATCAAATTGTTTCTGATCAAAATGTTCAAATATTTAGTTGGTTTTGTGTCAGTGTTCATGTTTTTTATCGCTCAGAAGTGGACAGATATAAAAAAAAACTTAAAGTCTTGTCGTTTTGTAAAAATCAATATTAAAATATCCAGTGCATTATGTTTGATTAATGGAAATTTAAAAAAAAAAGTGTGGAATTTAAAAAAAGAATTCAGTGAAGAAAAAAATACAATAATGATGTTTATTACAAAAAAATTTTTATTTCTGAACATTTTTTTATGCAAGCTCGTTGAGAATAACATTTTCTTTGCATCTCTACAAACAGTTTTCACTCATAGTACTTCCTCAATTTCTTATAAAAATGTTTTTCTTTTTTTTTTTAAATTAAAAAATGTTTTTTTAAAAAATTTATATTTTTCTTAATCTTATTCGTTAAATGATGGACTTATTTATTCAAGTTGGAAATGACTTTTTTTTAAAAACTAACAATGACTATAACTATAATTTTTTTACGACCATTACGCTATTTTTTGCTCATTAACACTATTTTTTCGCTTTTAAAAAGCTAACAATATCGTTACGACCTATTTGTTTTAATTTTTTTAATCTCATTCGTTAAATAATATTTTTGATATTTGGCATTGTAAATCTCAATAAACTTCGTTTGAATAGTTGTTGTCTTGATGTAAATTAAAATCGCTGCACTCTTCGCCTTCTAAATAATATAACTCTTATTTATATAACTCTAATTTTAAATGCTTTTATTGAATATTGCATTAAACATAAATAATAATATTTTCTCTTGATATAAACTTTAAGTTTTTAACTTTAAGTTTTTTTTTTTTTATAAATTATAATTTTTTTTAACTTTTTCATCTACTTGTTAATTTCCAAGAATCGACTGTTCGAACACTTGACGTCATTCACTTTCTTTTAGATCAGGTGTGGGCTTTAGAATATTGCCAACAACATTTTTTAAATTTAATTAATACACAAAGTCTCGTACAACTTGTTTAGACTCTTCTAGTAACCTTTTTTTAACATGTTTCCCTGATTTTGATTGCAATGGTGTTCCAGTAGTTAAAGATTTATTAAACTTATGAAAGTAAAACACTCTATGGCTGCTAATATTCAATGTTGAAACGTTTCTTTTTAAGTCATACAGCATTTCAGTTTGAATCGTGATGATACGCGTATACCAACAGGAGTAGGATTTAGATTATTGCATTTTAATGTTTTTTTTTGCTGTGGGAATCAGGTTAACACACTTCAACCAAAAAAAAACAAGAATCGTGAGATATCAATTTTTTCGTATGGATTAAAAAAAAAAGGAAATGCTAAAAACATCAGTTTATTTTTTGCCGGAACTACGCAAATATCAAAATGAAGTTTGCTAAATATCAAAAATGAAGTTTACGCAAATATCAAAGGGAAGTACTTTTTTTATTAAGTGACTATATATTAAATAGCGAGATACGAATAATTAAATAAATTTGCCATTTTTCCAAGTTTTACTTTATCGTGCAAATATCAAAATGAGTATATACAAAAACGTATAAAAAATCGAAAAAATAAATCAATACATTAGTTGATTAAGTCATCATTGATCGAAATCTATATAAGCGGATGTTCTCTTAATTCGGTCAGAAGAATGCCTACTTACTCTCCTAATAAGTTGGATGATTATTGGTGAAAATAGACGAATTATTTTTTTATAGAATTTCTCTTATTAAATAAAAAAATGAATAGAGTAACTCGAGATGATTGGTTAGAAGTCGGTGAACATTTGACTAAAGACAACGTCAAGAAATTGTTATATATGTTACGAGTACCACTTGGAAAAAAAGAAACTATTCAAGATGGTTTTGAATTTATAAATTATGTTATTGAAAATGGTGATTTGAAAATGGTGATTTCAATATTTGAACAAATCGGTCGTCACGACATTGTGAGCTTTTTACAAGCGAAAAGTAGTGTTAATGAACAAAAAATAGCGTTAATGGTCGGAACTGAAAGTGATGATTATTTTTTTCCGCAGTCAATAACAGACTATACATATTAATTGTACATATTATACATATTATACATATTAACTATATTTTTTTCTTTTTGAATTGCTTACTTTATTGATTCGAGATCTTTTTTTATTTTTAAAAAATTGTATTTATTTTATTTCTTTAAAAAAAATATGTTATGAAAAATAATGGTTTTTTCTTATAACTCATTTAAATAGTATGTTTGTTTGTTTTTTTATTTTTTTATTTGATTAAGTTAAGATTATCTTTTTTTATTTTTTTTTTTAAAAATTATTTTTTTTTATATAGTTTTTTGAAAAAAAAAAAAACATTTTTTATTTTTTTAAAAAATTTAATAAAATAGATAAAAAACATTTTTATTATTTTAAAAAACTATTTGTTATAACTTTTTGCATTAAAAAATATGAATAAAAAATGTTTTTTTTTATTATATTGCGATACTTACATTTTTTAGCGATAGTAAAAAAATAATGGGTTTTTTAAAGCTGATCGTTGCTCATTTAAGCAAGTATCCTGAGCGATTGTTTTTGAAATTTTCAAAAAACAAATTTGAACCTCAAAATATGTTCGAGTTACTTTTGACATTGAATGAATTGCAAGAAGTCATAGTGATTTTAGAAGATCATTTTTTAAAAAATGTTTATCAAGGCGTTAAAAGAAAAAGAAATTCTGGACAAAGTTTGGTAGTTTATCGAAAAAATCTGAAATTATTCGATTCGTGGAGAGGTAAAAAACAGTTTGTCCTTTTTTTTTTCAGATCACAACGTAATGTTTATTTATAATTTATTATATAATATTTTTTTTTCCAGATCACAATGTAATGATCGACAGCAAATGGAGAGAGGTTTATCAGGTTGTGTGTAGAGAATATGATAATTACAAAATGGATATGGAAACAATGACAGAAGATGAATTTATAAAACGCATCAAGTTTTGTCTTAAATTACGTTACAATATGAATGATGATGAATATTTTTTGTATAATTCTGTTTATAATTTTATTTCGATATTAATTAAACCGTACACAAAATGGGATTGTCACATGGATCAGTTGATTGATTTTTTTATTTCTGAAGATGCAATCGATATTTTTGCTACTAGATTCAACAAGGTTCCACTTGTTATTAAATTACTTAAAGTGCACTATTTGGCCTTGATTCTTGAATGTTGGAAAAATTCACCGAGCATGAAAAATCATTTTGATGAATATGATTTTTGGACGTCTGATCAAATTGAGCGTTATGAAAATCAGACGTTTAATGATATTCAAGTGGATCGACATCAGATGCAAGCATTTTTGACGTATTTTAAAAAGCAAAGCGAATATTTTATCAGCGATAGTCATCGTACTAAATTTAATTATGTTCTTGAAGCCAACAATGCGATAGTTTCGTTGTATGAGGAAGATGACAAAGATGATTTCTGGGAAAAAGTCAAAAATCATTACTTTTTTGGACGCCTTATTGTTTAATGATTTTTTTGTTAAATTTTTTTTAAATAAAAAAAAAGTTATTATGGCAATTTTTTTCTTTTTCTTTAAAAATAAGATATTAAAAAACATTAAAAAACTTATATTTTTTTAAGAATGATATATTTTTAAGAATGATATGTTCTTAAAAAATTTTTTTTAATATTTTCTTCTTTTTAAAAAAAAAAACAGGTTCATAAGAAAAAAATGTTTGATTTTGTAATGGATATTGAAGCTATTGATTGCGGAGTAAAGCATGAATGGGGAGACTTTTGCATTTGTGAAATAAGCATTGTGAATCGACATTTGACTTGTATTAATTATCATTTGCAAGTATGTAAAACAAAAGAACAAATGAAAGAATTTTATCAACAAAGAGCTGAATATGTCAAACGTAATATCAATAACCTTGACATTTTTGTATTTAGTATTTACCGTTGTGATGACGTTAAAGAGCTGCTACATCAAATGAATAATTACTAAACAACTTCTCTAATATAGAAGGACTCTCCTTCATAACACTCCATGGCATTGCATATTTAGGTAATTCATCATAAAACTTAGGGAACTGGTAAGGCTCAAAACTATATTTAAACATGTGTTTAGCAATATTAGCCTCTTTAATATAAGGTATTTCTTTAGGATCATATTTATCAACATTGCCAGGTTTAAGCCTCATATAATCAGGCAATTCATCTTGCGGTACAGGTTGATAATCAGGATCATAATTCCAACCTTCAACGCTTTCAGAAACAGTACTCATATCAGTAATATTACCTACTTTAGTTGAATTAGAATTAACAGAGCTAGTAGTAGAAGTACTAGACCGAGACCAATCAGACTCCGAATACAACATATCTTCCAAAATATTAGTTGGTCTTGTCTTACCCATTTCCTTTAAGGCAATATATTCAGTTTTACTAATATTATTTTTAGGTAACAATGCTGATTTTAAAATCTTCCGAACATTAGGCAAATGCATATAGGGTACGGTTTCCTTAGCTAAACTAGCAACTGCTTTAACATTTTTAACTGCACTTACAACACTTTTAGGATTTAGAGCACCAGTTAAACCGGTAACAACTGATTCAGCAATACGAGCAACCTGTTTATTTTTAAAGTTCTTTTTACTGACACCAAATATTTGATTATCCCATCCAGGGGCCACCTGTAAAGACTTTTTAGGGTTCACTTTACTTTGTTTAAACTGTGCTTAATTCTTGTTGAAGCCCTCCGGAATTGGAAAGTAATAATCGTCTCCCATCTGTAAGTTGAATAGTGTTAGTGCATCCACATATATTCCAAATATCACATGCAAATAAATTATGATCGACGCATTCATTATACAATGATTTACAAGCAGTACGGCCACACCAATCACAATGTGTAACCGATACCAACGCTAACAACATCAAAAACATTTTAATAATAAATATCTCAGCAGCTTATATAGCCTTTATAATCGGATTATGAAGTGACAGTAGTACGAAACGTTTATAAATTCATTTCTAACCCACCATCCATATATACTATAAGATATTATGTCATTGTTCTAATAGAAACCATCCCACCGACCACGTGGGATCCCACGTGGTCGGTGGGATGGTTTCTATTAGAACAATGATATATCAAAGAATGATCTAACAATTCCCACAGCCCTCACAGCCTAAGTGATTGCACTCTCTTCTACAACATTAAGATTGAAGATAAATTATATCGATAGTTGTGTCGTTAGAACTTTGTAATCTGATGCTGCGTGTGCTGTTTGTGTTGTGCACTGTGTTTGTTTGTTGTTTAATTTGTTTTGTTGTTTGTAATGTGTCAAAATCAACTATAGAATTATGTCTCTTGTGTTGTTTTGGTGCAATCAGAATTGAAAAATGAAACAAGTATATAAATTTGTTTTAAAAAAGAAATTTGTTTTAATTCTAATTGCATTTTTTTTTGCTGTAGTATTTTTACAAAAGTTAAACACAAAATCTTTAAAAAGTTAAACACAAAATCGTTTTAAAAAAAAACAACAGTATAAAATAATTTTTTTTTTCTTAAATAAAAATTTACATTTTTTTTATTTCTTCTTATAATTCTTTTCTTGCTCTATTATAACCTTCTTTACACTTCGCAAAGCATGCGAAATGTGAAGAGAATTTATTTATATTTAAATCGCTGGTCGAATCAAAAATAAAATTCCGGTATCTTGTTATAATGAACAAGTAAAATGAACAAGATACTGGGAAATCAACAATGATTGAAATCTACCATCAAATTTCAAATTATTTTTCAAAATATTCAAAATTAATAGATAATTTTGCCGTGTTGTTTTTAACCGAACGTAAAGCTTTTCCAGTTGGAAAGATATTTTTATTTAAAAATAAAATTTTAATTTTATGTGTAATTTGAGTTAAAAATTTTAATTTCATGTGTAATTTGAGTAATAAAATGATCGAATTTTACAATAAAGTTTCGAATCTTTCAGTAAATGAACCAATAATGTTAGATATTTTTGCTGTCCTGTTTTTGACAGATAATGAAGCTTGCCGTGTTTGTACAGACCAAAGAAATAATCAATGTCTTGGAGACCATTCCAGACTTATCGCATTGGTATGTTTTTTATTTATACGTTTATAAGTAGCATTTGATTACAGAAAAGTTATTGACAGACTAAATAATTTATTTAAACACAGACTAGGAGTAACTGTTTCAAGAAAAGAACATTGCAAAAATCTGTCCATGACCTATAAAAGAATTTGCAGCAGGATTGCAGATAATTAATAATAAATAACATTGCTGCGCAAATTTATAAATTAAAAATATACATATTAATTATTAAGTATGTATGTTTTTTTAGCACACTGTGTTTCAACTTTTAACGCAATAATAACTTAGAGAATGTTTTAATGCAAACTAAAACCCTTAATGTATTACAAACTAACTAACAACTTAAGAATTAATCATTAATTCTAAAAAATTAAGTAGTTTGTAATACATTAAGGGTTTTAGTTATTTTGGATTTTTTTTCTTTCTGTCTTTGTAGGGTTAGTTAGTTGAACATGTCAAATACGTGTGTATTTTGGATTATGTGTGAGGGGGGTTAGGGTGGGTGGGTGGGTTTTTGTTTTCTCCCCCTAATCCCATAATTCTTTGTCTCGTCCCAGACCTCTTTAAATATATATTAGGCTAGAAATTGATTTGGTTCGTCAGTTATGAACTTAGAGAAAGGTTGTATGGATATTCCTGAAGATAATAATTATGACGTTATTGAATTAGTTCCTACGAATCAATTATGCCTTGATTCCAATGCAACGAAGATCTTAGAAAATGTTTTAATGCAAGATCTGGATCTGACTTCGATAGTGGGTTTAACGGTAAGGGAAGTATTGGAAAATCCAATTACGGACGAGATAGTGGCGTTAGTCGATCGAAGTTTAGTAAAGGTGGGCAATCTGCTATCGTGGCACCCCCTATTAACAGTGGCAGCGAAGCAAGCTATTTCCGCACTATTGAAGTGCATAATAGTAAGACATCATGGTTCCGATACCATCACGTCCTCTTCAATGTTTCCTCTGCACCTCATGCAAAGATTATGGAAGAGTACGTGGCTAACCCTGACGTCCCTCGAAGTATTCCTACAACACCTAATGAGGTGCAGTGGTTGTCCGATAGAATTGGTGACATTGCTGCGCAAATTCAAAATTTAAAATATACAAAATAATTATAAAGTTTGTATGTTTTTTTTGCACACTGTCATTCAACTTTTAGCGCAATAATAACATACACTAACAATTTGAATTAAAAATAAGTGTCTATCTTTCCTTGTTTTATTATTTGATAAATAGTTAACTAAAACGATATTGTGTTTAACTTTTTAAATTACCTGGTTTGCTGAGTGATTTACACAAAAATTTTTGCAAGTAGTCTTGCTGTAATAAGTGTTATTATGAAATGGTTATCAAATAAAGGCAATTGCTAATTTTATTGTTTTCTGTATGATCATATAGTTTCGATAGATAACTCATATCGTAAGATAAACATCGACACAATTGTGAAATTTGTCTTTGTTGTTATTTACGAAATAATGAAGAAAAATTGTAATAGCTTTGTCGAAGAAAAGCTGACTTATGATTGTTTAGCATATTCTGCAAGAGTTTGCGAGAGTGTAAGTTTAATGGTAAAAATGCTAACATTTAGTGGAATAGAAGACATGCTCAAGGTAACTTTTATAAGGTAAGTTTCATAATATATAAGGTAAGTTTTAAAAAGACCTCCCTGTAAAGTTTTACAAAACCGCATCATACAATCTAGAAAATTTTTTTTAAAGTAAGATATCGTAAGTAAGATAAGGTAAGATAAAGTAAGATTTAATTAGCTGGTCGAATTAAAATTATAATACCGGTATCTTGTTATAATGAACAAGTTAAATGAACAAGATACTGGGAAATCAACAATGATTGAAATCTACCAGCAAATTTCAAATTTTTTTTCAAAATATTCAAAATTAATAGATAATTTTGCCGTGTTGTTTTTAACCGAACGTGAAGCTTTTCTAGTTGGAAAGATTTTTTTATTTTTAAATAAAATTTTAATTTTATGTGTAATTTGAGTTATGAATTTTAATTTTTTGTGTAATTTGAGTAATAAAATAATCGATTTTTATAATAAAGTTTCAAATCTTTTGGTAAATGAACCAATAATGTTAGATATTTTTTCTGTCCTGTTTTTGACAGAACATGAAGCTTGCCGTGTTGGAAAGGTATTTTGATTGAAAATAAATTTTTAATTTGATGTTTAATTTGAGTAATAGGTTGGTTAATTAACATGTTTCTATCCTTAAATTAGCTAATCAACATATTTAAACTTTTAACTAACTAATTAACATTCATTTATCTTTTTATTGGCTAATTAAATAGTTAATTTGATTTTGTTTGATCAAATCTTTTATTATGCTGTATCTGTTATTTGGCTGAATTTGTTAACTTCTCGAAAATAAATATCTTTATGACTTT